GTGAGCAGTTTCTGGAGCTGTGTGTTGTGAGACTTCATAATTTAAATGGGACCATAGAACAATTGTTGAGCCACAACCTTAAACTCAAAAAAACGTCCAAAGAAACTTAGGCTGCAGAATGGATGATTTCTCAGGGGCAGTGTATCCTGTTCTGATGCTGATCAGCAATATTGAAGCATATGCTAAGATGCTTTTGATCGAGGATATTATGACTGAACAGACAGACGCAGCATTCATAGAATTCATTATTCTCTCTATTTTGTTGCAACACTATCTTACTTTAAATATTTTAAGGTTAAGTTGTGCTGCCATGGTTCCTTTTTAACCTTTCTGCGTTTTCACTCTACACAAAGTCCTGCAATGTGTTACATGCTGCAGGGAGAAAAAAAAACAAAAAACCTTAGACAAAACCAAAACACCCTGTCAAAAAACAAGATCATGAAAACACTTACAATCATATTAATCAAAGGCTATTCAGATATTTTCAGTGTTTTTACAAAGATTAAAAAAAAAGTCTTCAGTGATCTATTCGAAAGAAGGTAGGTGTCAACAGGCAATGCACTTTCTCTTTTCCTATTTCTCCTCTGATTTCCTGCCCTCTCTCTGTTTTTCAACTTGCTTTCTGACTGCAAAGATCGCCTCTACCAGCAACTTGAGAAAAACCGCCTTCTCTCTAATGAACTACGTGTGGCCTTGAATGAGGACTAAATTGTGTGAATGTTTAATGTGTTTGCTATGGTTTTTGTTTTTTAATGTGTGTATGACAATCTGATCCAGTGTATGATCCAAAGCTCGACACCTGCACTGCTTGAAATCTGTGTTGCTGTTTGTGGAAATGCATTTCTCGTGGCAATATCGTGAAAATCAGGGATTATCTCAAATATATCTTTTCTTTTTTTTAAATCTTGCAGTTTGTCATTATATATTTTTGCAAACTGTTGTTGTGATTATGTGTTTTAATAAGGACTGTAAAGTGTAACCTGTTTGCATGGTTGCTTGCATATCATAATATGAGCTTGTTTACTCAGTGTGTTTCTCTTGTTTTCTGTCAGTGCTGTGTAGATTGGGTTAAAAAGCACTCAGATTTAATGACTGACCAGAATGATGTAGCCAGCTTCATTATTAATGCAAGCTAACCAACTGACTCACTTATGCTCGCTTGTGTGAGATTAAAACTTCTTCATTTGATGTTCTAACAGAGAAACTGTCACACGCTAAAGAAGAGAACCTCGATATGCACCAGATGCTGGACCAGACTCTAATGGAACTGAACAATTTGTGAAAGCGCGGTCTGATCCTGCAACCCCCCCACACACACTGTGGTTTTGGCTTTTTGTACTTGCACCTTGCTTACCGTAAACCCCTCTTCGCGTACCTTGCCCATGGTGGAGAACAAACAGCCAGATGCTAGTCCTATTGCACCGTTCTGCCTTCAGTGGAACTCGACCAAGGAGCAAAGCTAAAGGGAAGTAAAGCTTAACCATTCCCTTTGATGAAGCCTAAACTGAGAAACACCATTGTTTTCACAATCTAGCTTTTATCTTGTAATGATGTCCACCTTTTGCAATCCTTGAGATAGGTTTTTTTTTTTTTTCTTTTTGACAAGTCATCTGGTGAAGATGAGATGTGCCATTGGTTACAAAAATTGTTTTCTACATCTGCATTGAAGCTGATCTGGTACGTTCCATTCCACCCTGATTCTACACATACCAAAGTAAAAAGTGGAGAAATTTTGCACTTAATTAAACCTCAACATTACGCACATTTTGCAAAATGTAAGAAAACTATGTTTAAAAAAAAAAAAAATACATGCCCTCCTCCCAGAAAATTTCCTCTCAGATGTAAGTATACATCGGCTTTGCCTGTCTTTATGTATACTGGTGCTACTGTATTGTTAAGCAATGACAGAAAAATGCTAATGCATTACAGTATAGTCTTAGTTTTCTTTAAAAACATTGTTCAAATTTTTTTCATCTTGTCTATAAAGTATGATTTCAGTCATCTGGTTGCACATTGTTTTAGCATCATTTTAATGTAGATGTTTCAAGTGTTTATCATATCTGAAATGTACAAATTATGACTATAAAATAAAAGCACGTTTTGAAAGTTTTCTAACTTTGTTTGTGATGCATACATAGCCCTTTTGTCCATCTTAGGGTTTTAATAGACCTTTGGGGTGAATGAAAAACATCTGATGCAATGCAAATGAAAAGACAATTGTTAAATAGAGTTTATCTTCCACAGAGGTGTTGAATGTGTTAAATTCTTTAGAACAAATGGAGATCTGTTCAGTTTGGCTCATGTTCACTTGACCCTCAACTTGACCTCCAGCCGGGGGAAAAACACTGTCATGTGTTTCCTTGGTTCACTGCAGCTCACTAAGCACTACTGGACCATATCAATTCAGTTTCAAAGTCAATCAAACCATGTAGCAATAGTGGAAAATTTAAATTTTTTAGTTCAGTGAAAGTAACAGCACCAGAATGGAGAGCATTACTAGAAGATCGTTTCTGTAGTTAGATCCTTAATTTAATTGCATTTCATTTGTGTTAAATTATTGTTGCATTAACCTTTGAGAAGTGTTAGTGTGCCTGGACCTAATTTACAAGTATACTGTTGAGTGGGTTATTTAAATAACCATAGTTTATGACCTTAAAACTATGACTTTATCATGCCCTATATATTTTGCATGTTATCTTACTTTACTCAGTAGCCATCAGTGGAGTTAAACGCAGCGTTTAAAGGTACAGCACCTCAAAACTACATATACATACCATTTTATATATAAATATATATATAAACCCTATATGTACACTAACCCTGTATGTATGTATGTGTATATAGACGACAGCTAACTAGTTGTTATGACCTCTGTGAAAGTCCTTTGTTGCACCAGTGGAGAGATAAGGGTGTGTGTGTGTGAGAGAGAGAGCGCGAAAAAGAAAAAAAGAGCTATTATGTTGAATGTAGCTGTACAAATTATGAGTGTGTGACCTGGAGTTTGGGCTAAAACTGTGTATGTATTATGATTACGGATTGGGTTGGCATCTTTAAAGGTAGGGGATGGGATGTCCCCAAAAGTGACATTAATGTTTGTGTGTGTTTTAAGAAATGTATGTGTTGTGACGCCCCCGCCCTTTTTGGTTGTTGGGCAGGAGGCTTGCTTGTGTCTACTTCTCTTCTAGATTCCAGTGGGTGTGGCTTCCAGTGGGTGTGGCTGGGTAATAGTTCATTGGGCACACCTGGGCCCGGTGTTCCCAGGGCTATTTGAACCCCCCACACTTCCTTCCTGATGAGCGAGACGCAGAGGGAAGCATTGCTCCAGACACTCCACACTCCTTACTCCTTGCCCAACACTTCACACACCATTCTTCACTCATGCTATCACTACTGATTGACTGACTCCCACACCTCACAGTATTTTTGATTCTTTGAGTTGGGGTTAGGGACAGTATGAAAATGAATTAATCACTTAATTTTGTATCAGACCCTAAAAATCAAATATATGATAAAACTTTAAAAGCAGCATTTCATATCACATAAATTTGTTATTATCATTATCAATTACTTTCCATTGCAGGGCAAACAAGGACATTCTAGGCAGCTCTTCTTCACAGTACCATATTGAGAAATATTTTTACTTAAAATTAATTTCACATATTTCTATTTCTTCCTGGCACAACCCATTTCCTTTTCATCCAACTTTCAAATTTGCCACAATTATGAGCAGTTCCTGCGTTTGCTTTGTTTCTTTTGCTGTTGTTATTCATATTACTCTGGCAAAGCCTTGGCCGAGTCTGGGCCGATCCAGCTGAAGTTTGTCCAACTGGCGGCCTGAGTCCGAGAACCCACAACCAAGCCTGAAAGAAACCACAAGTGCCAGACTCGACTAATCATCAGTTCTGGTGGTGGGCCAGAATGGCTTTTCTTAATTTCCTTTTATTTTCCCAATGCCGACCATTGAAGCCCGCTGTGATTTATGATACATTGATAAATATAAATCTGCATGTTAGAGTTGCTTTCTGAAATGCCAATCAAGTTCCCTTTGGAAGGTAGGCTACTGAATTTGCCAGAATTCTCTGTTAAGTAAACACAGGTTTGTTAAAACCCAGATGTAGCTAAGCAAGTCTACATTCGGGCTGTTTTGCATTGTTTCCCTTACAGTGAACTAAATATTGCCAACCTTAACCTTCTATTAAGACATCTTGTCATGATGAAGCTTAAGGAAACAGGGAAGATGCATGTATTTGTTAGTTACTTCATAACATACTGCGATAAAACATATGAGGTTTTGTTTCTACTCAGATTTTAAGTTATACAAAGGAGTTTTTACTAAAGTATGTGCAGCAAACTCTGCAACTTTGTAGTTTTGTGTTTTTGTTATGTAAAGTGAACACAATTTTTTCATTTTATTGAGCAAGAAAGTGACTACTGCTCTTATGAACATAAAAACATTCAGTGCATATTTTTACAAACATTTTTAGTTCATTCAACTATCGAAAATATAAGCTAAGGGCACGATGTATGTGTTGTTAATTGTCTTAACTAATTAGGGTATATTGACTTTATACATTTAAGTAAAATTAGCCAAAAGAAATTTGTTGACTTAACATAAAACAGTTATGGACTTTACCGTAAAATTATGGTTAGGGTTTACAATGTATCTGTAGGACTGAAAAAAAATGTATCCACCTCATGTTGGATCGCATCCTGGGCACATTTAAAACATTCTTATTAGTGCTGCTATTTGCATTTCTGCTGCTGTTGTGTGCCTGCACAGTGAGGATGTCTTCAGTTCAGAGAATTCACATTATGAACATTTATTGTACTCTGACTTGTGTTTAAACAAACATGTGATTAAGTATTTGGCAATTTTTGGGAGGTATTCAAAATATCAGCTATTCTATTAAACCGCACCCCCACGCTGAGCGGCTCATCGCTCGATATTGTCTGAATCATGATTTGATTAATCTAGTCTGGTTCGAGGACGCAGACAGGAAGCGAGCAAGTTGTCGGTAACTGTCTGCAGCTCAACAACCTGGGCCAGTAACCGCCAGCAAAAAGGAGCATCGTTTCTAACAATGTCACGACTGTTTTTGCCAAACCGCTTATGTGCCCCATGCCCCCTCCTGTCAGCGCGGGAGTCTCCTTTGTTTTTGACGCTACGAGCCGGAGCGCGAGTGCAGCAGCAACAGTCAGCAAAGCCAAATGTTTTTATTCAGCAACAAAGACGATACGTCGGACGCTCCAACACAGCCTTTTCCAAATACCGGTCAAAGTCCTGGATTTGGATGTGTGGTGGTGTTGGTGTAGGCATTGCTGTAGCTGTCGGACTGAAATGTCGCACTGACGCAGTCAACAGTTCGTGTGTTGATAAAGTTGCAGAAGCAGAGAGGACTGATCGATACAGCGCTGCAGTTAAAGTTAGCAGAGACCTTGTGGAGCGGATAAAGGTAGGCACAAAGGTAGGTCTGTGAACCTGCTGGGTATATGATTGACCTGCCTCCCTTTGCTCTCTCCCTATGTCCCCTGCCTAACTTCAGTGCCACCTGTGTCAGTTCAGTCTTTTATCTGTCTGTTGCCAGGCTGAGGTCGGGGCTCCTGGCCTGGTGGTAGGGGTTTCTGTGGATGGTGCTCAGGTCTGGTGTGAAGGTTGGTATCTGCAAAGTCCACTTTAAAGGTGCTATGTACATAGTATTTAAAAAATTGCACTACTGATATAACGAGACGAATTTCTCTAACATTATTTTGTAGCAGTTTGGCTGGTACAATATTGACCCACAAGACAAATTAAAGGTCCAGTGTTTGAATATGTTCAACATTTTCTATGAACGCAGAGACTAGGGCAACAATTTCCCTTGTCAAATTAATTTGGGGGAGAGCAATAGGGCTATAACATTTTTTATGGTATATTTATTATTAATAAAATTATTTTATTTGGTGGACCTATCATTTGTTTGTAAACTGAAAAGAAGTTAAAAAAATCCCTTCATGTTTTCCCAGAGCTGAAGGGATGCCTCCATGGTCTCTTTCCTTTACTGAAATATAAAGTGATGTGATAGTGGTTCATGACAACAATTTTAATCTTCTTTCAATCTTAAAATGCAACACTTGGACTCTATTATTTTCATAGGAATATATTCCTATGAAATCACATTTGTATGTTTCGTTTGTAATTCAGGGATCGGATTTGCTGATTTGGAGAACCGTGTGCCATGCGGCCCAGAAACAGTGATGCGAATTGCCAGCATCAGTAAACCCCTCACATCTGCAGCTGCTGCAAGACTGTATGAGGAAGGAAAATTAGATCTTGATGTCCCGGTTCAGAAATATGTCCCAGACTTTCCCCAGAAACAGTTTGATGGACAGGATGTAAGTCACTTGAAGTAATGCAAACTCTAATATATAATTTTCCATCTTAGCAATCATATCTTGTTCATTTTTGTGTTCAGCTCACATGCACATTCATTATTCTTTTCTTTCAGGTCACGATAACCCCTCGTATGATTCTTTCCCACCTAAGCGGGATACGACATTATGAGAAGGATCCAAAGAAAGTGAAAGAAGACAAGGAGAAAGCTAAGCGACTTCTGAAGCCACCAGTTAAAGAGAAAGAGGATGAAAAGAGGTCATCTGAAAACAAAGATAAACCCACAACAGAACAGAACACTAAAGGCAAAGAAGCCACTCAGGCTCAGAAGAAAAAAGAGTTTGAGCATGAAGAGTATTACTTGAAGGACAACTTTGAAAGTGTCACTCAGGCCTTGGACCTCTTCAAGGACGACCCACTCATTTTCAAACCGGGTAAACTACACATTTGCTTGCTTAACAATTCAAATATGATGCATTTTCAATTTTGATGTATTGATGAGTAAGATTTATGTTTTGCTACATGCAGGCACCACTTTTTTGTACTCCACCCATGCCTTTACCCTGCTTAGTGCTGTTGTGGAGCAAGCTGCTGGCCAGCACTTTCTGGATGTCATGATGAACATGTTTCGTGAACTGGGAATGCTCAATACTGTGCCTGATGAGAATGACCCTATTATTTACCACCGCTCCAGGTAATATAGAATAACTAATATAAACAAATGAAATGTGACATTTCTTTGAGGATGTTTTGATAGTTCATGATTGTTTTCAGCATTGCACATTGCATGCTAAAATTCCAATGGTGAGTCTATATAGTCTATATTTAAAGATGATGCTCCTCCACAGATATTATCATCTCAACAAGAGAGGACGTGTTGTCAACTGCCCGTATGTAGACAACTCCTACAAGTGGGCAGGAGGCGGCTTCCTTTCCACCGCGGGAGACCTGCTGTTGTTCGGTAATGCTCTGCTCTACAGCTACCAGGTGGCCCACCTTAAGGACACTGAGGGCTTGCAGCCTGGCTTCCTCAAACCCCAAACTGCCTTAGACCTCTGGGCACCAGTTGACAGGACAGAAGGCAGCTGGGATAAAGATGGAGTGTATGCCCAAGGCTGGCTGGTAGTGGAGAAACTCCAGAAGTACGGCCAGTGCAGGAAGCGCAGACACTACGTGTCGCACACAGGTGGCGCTGTGGGAGCTAGTAGTGTCCTCCTGGTGTTACCCAGTGAGGAGATAGACCAGTGCCAAGGACAGAGACCCCTCCCCCCGCAAGGAGTGGTGGTCACAATCGTCACTAATATGCAGTCTGTGGGACTCAATAGCACAGCACTGAAAATTGCACATGAGTTTGACAAAGCCAGACGCCTGTAAGAGTAAGTTGTTTACAGAAATGCATGAGTTTACATTTTACTGAGAAGTATTTCAGATAAACTGTGTGATCTTGTTTGATTTTGATACAGTTTTTAAATATGTCTAGAGGATGTTTTAGGAAGTGGAATAAATCTTTAACATCTATTTTATATACATTTTATGAAATGCCAAGTCAATTCAGATTTCTTTCAGTTACAACACTTGGCAGGGATGCTATTCAGCCACTAGGTGGAAGCAGTTTACTGCATTTCTAACACAAAAAGGAGACCACTGACCTGTGATATCAGTTTATTGGCTTTATACAGAAGGAATGCAGCTCTTCCATTAAACGCTAACAGAACACTCCCGTACCTTTTTAAAATATTTAGACTTACAAATACATTTCATACACAGTGGAAAGAATTGGGTGCTATTTAAAGCAGCATGCTACAGCTTCAAAGTTTGTACGTCACATGCAGTGACCTTTTAGGGCCCACCCTGCCTAGATATTTCCTCATAGCATCTTGACATGCTTTTGGAAAAACCCTGCTTTGTGTTGATGTAATGCTGTTGCACTGTCAATAATCAAAACAAAAATATAAGATGACATTTTTACAATGTACTCACTGCTGTGCCAGCTTTCATAATCACTTTTATACAATGCCTTTGTTAAAAGTGACTTCAGCGACAAGTACAATCTTGAGTTCGTCTTTGAATTTGACAAAACAAGAACATTTCCAGAATTTACTGCCTTGATGGTGACAAGAATGTTCGGGAGTAACTAAGCTGTCAGCTGTCCAGAGTTTAGTTTGTTTTTCCTCCACAGTTGGCTGCAACTGTGTGAGAATACTGGAAGTCCCTCAAAACAGAAAGACTAGCAAACTATTGGCAATGCAGTCCAACGAGTTTTAATTCCTCTTCTAAGCTAGCTGAACTGAAGCAGACTTGATGCCACCATTCTCATTAGAAAACTCCTGGGATCTCCTGTGCCCCTGTTTTTAGATTTAAGGGGACTGATGAATGGCTTGGGATAAGCTAATTATACAGACTCCCACACACAGTGTATTTCTAAGTTTGCTGTGTGTGTGTGTGTGTGTGTGTGTGTGTGTGTGTGTGTGTGTGTGTGTGTGTGTGTGTGTGTGTGAGAGAGAGTGTGTGTTCCTGCATGTCCAGCTTTGTGAGAGGCCAGTGTGTTTTAGAACCGCAGAGTGAAGACATGTTTAAAACGTGAGGTCATTCTGAACAGTCCTGACTTCTTCAAGGGGTAATTATGGTTTAGGGTCAAGATTAGATTTCGGATAAGATTAAGAACAGGCTACAGGCTGAGGTTAGGAATGAAGTGATGATGGTTTAGTTTAGAGGCTAAGGAATGACTGGTCATTCAGGAACCTCTCAAGAATACAAATGCAAACGTGTGTGTATGTGTGTGTAGTCTCCCACAAGAAATCACACAGTCAAATGATTCAGTAGGGATCATTGCATATATTTACACAATTACAAAATATTTACTAATGGCATATTGAGCATATTCATTCATTTATACAAGGGGTTGTTTTATAATTCTTTACTATTCAGTATTTTGAATAGTATTTCACAAAATAGTTTTTACATAGTCCAACTATGCTTTGTAAATCCAGAGCAAAGCACATAGATTGAAATGTGTTTTAACATGAGTAACAACAGTGCCAACTTCTTAGATGTGTTAAAAAGGCAACTGTGCAAGGTGTGATTCAACTCTCTCCCACTCACACTTGTTTCACACCCTGTTTCTATGTGTGTGTGTGTGTGTGTGTGTGTGCGCGTGTGCGTGCGTGCGTGCATGCGTGCGTGTGTGTGCGTGTGCGCGCGCTAATGAATTACACCTTTCTGTAGCAAACTGCATGGAATCCATAAATCTCATGAAACGATTAATCAGCTGTCAGCTCTTCACCTGCCTTGACTTTAGTTAAAGTCAGCGCAGCAGTTTTCCTCCCATCTATTTGGTCTTTCATAGTCATCATATAATTATTTCATCATCCCATCCAACACAGAACCAAAAGAGAAAACAAAATGTACACCACAAGAGAGGTTATACTCTTGGTTTTACTCTCCAGTACAGCTGCTGGTTGCTCTGTTGGCTCTGTTGCTTGGCTTTCAACATCCTGTGTGTGGACACAAGTAATGGAGTAATTAGCTTTAAAACAATATATCCTGGCTGAAGTACAATAACACCAATATGGCACAGTAAATACTTTCCACACCCTAGTGTTATTTTTAGATATCTTGAAAAAATTGGCAATCCTACATCCATAATGTACTCACCTGCGTACATAGTAGATAACAACTGCCAGCACCACTAAGATGAGGAGGGCAACAATGACCACGGCTGCAATTAACCCTGCCTCCCCTGCGTTGCTGAACTTGCTCGGGAGCTGAAACTGCTCACATCTGCTGCCTTTGTAATCTTCATTGCACCTGAATTAAGATATGATGCACAAAAATGTACACAGTCTGTCAGCACAGAGAAAAATTGACGACAATATTGTCATGCTGTGAAATCAGGTAATGCCTACATGAAAGTTAAAGGTTCCCAAAGCCTTGTTCTTATATCTAAGATGGTTGAAAAGGATTTTAAAATAGAACTTACACACAGGAGAGTGTATTCATAGAAGGTATTTTGTAGCATGTCCCACTATTCATGCAATAGGTGGCCTCCTGCCCATCACATGGGGCACCGTGATCTACACAAACATATTAACATTTCAGAAAAGAGATCTGTAACAAAACAGTAAATTTTTTAAAACGATTTGTTGTTTCTTCTGATCTTTTTTTTTTTATTTTAATTTTTTTTACCTGCCATCATTTATAATGCTTTTTCTTGATGTTTCCTGAGAACACAAGAAACGTTTATGTCACAGAGAAGGAAGTAATCTCTCACCACCAAGGAAAGAATGACATAACCAGAAGTTTCAGATGCCAATAATGAAAACAAACCTACACATATATAAACAGTTTCTTAAATCTGGAAGGTATTGTAAAAAAGTTTGAATTATGAGAGGAATATATATATATATATATATATATCATTACCCTGACTGAAATAAATTTTTAAAAATCTGTACTTACCAGCTCAAGAAATCCCAGCTTTTGGTAGTTAGTGCAGGTTGTAGTAGTGAAGGTGAGTCATAATGATGCTCCAAAATAACTCAGGACTGCTTTTTGTTGGACCTCTGCAGAAACTGTCATGTGGGTGTGTTCCACCCGTGGCCTAGAAAAATGTTGTGATTGCAGTTTGTCCACATTGTAAATGGCATGTTAAACGTCAGGATACCACCTACTGAGTGAAGGTAATTTGCTAGAGTGTGTCATAAATAGTCTCATTTGCTGGTGTGTGAGTAATTCATAAATGGCTATCAGAGGTTTAAAAAGTCTCTTAAAAGTTGGTGTGAAAGTGCTGAATCCTGTGTCAGTCTATCAGTTGAAGACTTGAGAGGATTACAATTTTGTTTTTGTTCACGGAGGTTCAATTGCATTACGAGATAGGATGGTCAGATGGGTGAAGAAATCACCTGTTGTGCATGTGTGCTCAGCGTGTCTGGGTTTGGTTAGAAACAACTGAATGCTAGGTATGCAAAGAAGGCATGAATGGAATCGTGGGAACTTTTTGTAGTCTAAGAACCCATCACATCGCACCACTTCCTTTAGACAAATAATTACTGCTTCATGCTCAGAACCGTTAGCTGAGTCATCAACTGGCCTCCTATTTTTATTTTTAACTGTTTTCGGCTGGCTTGCTTTTGCAGTGAGAAATGTTGTTAGTCTGAGCTATGCGGTGATGATGCTCAGGGGCTAGGCATTCCTCAGGCCACACTCAGGCAACACTGAGGAGATGGTAAAGTACTTTTGATGACATTTCTGCTCACTTTCTGACTTATCTGATCACGTGTTCTGAGGAGGTTACAAATGGCCTCACCTCATAGGCCTGCCATAGTTACATTTCATTTGACTAATAATGAGGACACCACTTTCTAAAAAGGCACCCTTTATAAATCATTGTAACTAATGACTATATTAATGGCAGTAAATCGTACACTAATGCTTCACAGATTAATTACATGCAGTTATATAAGAACAACTTTTGGTCTGGCCAAGCTGAAAAATAAATCCTTGTCTGGTTATTTCCCTTCAGGGAGAGAGAGAGAGAGAGAGGAGAGAGGATTGATGAGGAGTGAGAGAGAGAAGAGAGAGAAGAAGAGAGGAGAGCAGAGAGAGAGAGAGATGAGAGACGAGAGAGAGAGAGATGAGAGTAGAGAGAGACGAGAGAGAGAGAGAGAGAGAGAGAGAGAGAGAGATTACCTTACCTTCTGGAAATCTTAGTGGAGAACCAGGACCTGGACCAAAATGAACAACTTATTAACATTTACAGATTTAGGCCTGATAAATTATTGTAATAACCCTTAATTGTGGATGTATTAACATTTATAACTGTAGACTTGACAGCTAAGTAGAAAGTGAGAACCTCATGAGCATTTATATAACTTTTCTAACCCAATAGAAAAGATGTGCTCCAGGTGAAGAGGTTTTTTAAAACCTGGAAACCCAAAAGGTTCTTTTTATTGATGGTTGGCTATAACTGATCTATTAAGCATATTAAATAATCCATCATTAATAAACCCATTATACAACCTATAAACACTTTATAAAGACTGTCTTATTATCATCAAGTGGTACAGTATTTTTTTTTTTTAATACCACTGTAAATGCAGACATGTTGTCTTTTCTCCACTTACCCTTTTTTGGTGTTTCCGGAGCCTAATTCCGCTGCCACATTTTTAGGCTACAGCTCAAATATGTCATTAAATCTATACTGGGACTGTTACAGTGACGCTGCAGACTTATAAATGACATTAAATAAAACGGACTCAGTCACTATAAACTCCCAATTGAGCGCCACAGAACGACTTGAAGTCCGTGTAAGAGTATTTGTGATTTTTTTTTTCTTTTTTTTCGTGCGGGTGGGTTGTTATCGCGAGGAACTCTGAAGCTCAAGAGGTGAAGTGAAGCGAGAGTGTTTTTCTACGTCGACGCTTCCAGGGTGGCATAGAAAGAGGGACGTCTGCAGGCTCTTATGGCTTAACAGGAACATAGAGTACATACATCCATGTTTTTGTGTGTTAATGTGTATATGTGTGTGTGTGTTTGTGTGTGTGTGTGTGTTTTGTAAATCTAGCAAGGTTTGCTCCGCGTTGACGGCGCCGCTCGTCACACATCTGTCGCCGCTGGAATCCTGTTTTCAGCACCTGGACAGCTCCCGGTCGTGAACCTCTTCTTATTATCGGGCACATGGAGTCCCTGGTGTGATTGTGGGGGAAGCCCCTGCAAGCACATTATGCATCCCTCCGAAGATGTCGTTATCTCCCTGACTCAGTGACAGCCTCGTCGTCTCCGCTGAAGGATGGTGCTTTCAGTCCGGAGTAGGCGTTTTCGTCGTGCGCTGTCTTCTGAGAGGCGATACGGGTGCTTGGCCAACGCGAATTTAAGGGGAATCGCAGCCTACACACAGCAAGATCCCAGCTTCCCTCACACTGATCATCATCATCACCATCATCACCATCATCATCATCATCATCGGCGAGGAGGGAGATATAACTATCATCTCTGCGAGGGCAAAGGAGTCACGACCACACTTTACACAATGTAGAACAAGAAAACACAAGAGGTTAGTGTGTCTTTGTGTTTATTTTCCAGTCAGTGCTTGGTTTGAAGCGCCCAGGGGTAGTTAGTGTGTTTGTGTTGGATTAAGCAAGAACAAGACTGAGACTGTATGGCCTCTGAGCACAGTGGGAAAATGTTAACAGCCCCATAACTGTTTATGTAGCTACGACTTGGTGGATAGTGATTGCAAATGCATCTTGATTATGTTAAATGCAGAGAGAGCCTGGGATGAAAAAAAGCCCACAGTGCTTGTTTAGTGAAATGAAATAGTAAAAAAAAAAATTGCTGCCTTTGTGGACAACCACCTCCGCTGATGAGGCACTTACTGTAGACTGTACTTATAGTAATAAGTGGCAAGTCAAGATGCTGATTGTGAAATTCGATCTCTCTGATGCTGTGATTTACTCACGTCCAGAAATACTTTGCTGTGCAGTGAATAGCCTCCAGAGAGAAATACACACATCTTTGACTACCACTTGCCTTTCTGGTCACATCTACAGAGGTTTCTTACAGTAAGGAGAAGCACCTTGTTTAGTATTTTGGCAATGCATTGATCTCTTTGACTTTCTGCATCTCTTATGGCCAGGATCAGTTGTTAGTTTTTTCCTGAGTATAATTCTAAAGTCCATATATTTGGGTGCTGCAGTTAAACAATATCACTCCCGGCCCTTGAATGACCTGGGGTGATTAATCCTGAGTAGCATTTAATCTGCTGTGCTTCACTACATTACTCTGTTGTGGCTGTGAATGCTGACTCCTCACCTCTCCATGTCTGAAGGTTTTCAACTGTGTCTCTGTGTCAACACCCTGCCCCCCACCACCCCCCAACTTATTTCTTGTTGAGCTGATTCCAGTGTTAGACTTACATTGCAAATTTTTTTTATTTTTTTTTATTTTTTGGTAAAAGTGGATGTCTCATGTTAAAGCAGTGGATATGCGCTTGTGACTTTCCTGTCTGGTTGTGTCATGTCTGTTCCCTGCAAAGCAGCTGGAGTGGGCTTTCACTGAACGGACTTGGACATCAATGGCTCTCTATCCTGTGGCACAAAGAGCGAGCATCCTGCTGTACTTGCTATGCAAGAGGTGTGATGTTCCTCAGCCCCTGATTCACAGAGCGGGGCGTATATTGGAGGAGATTTAAAATCCATTAAAGTTTAGTGCTCCCCAGGAAAATAGTTGAACAGAGCTGAAGTGAGGACAGGGTGCCTTCAGGAGAAGCATAAGCACTGATGCTACATTGATAACTGTGCATGCATCTGTGTTACACAACCGCACATATTTCACAATTTTGAGATTAGAAGTTTATTCTTGACCTTGGAAACAGCAGTTGGCAAAACAATATCCTCACAAGGTCTATTAGTTGCTGTTGTGGAGCCATCAATAATATCTTATAGCATCCCTCAGCAGACAGATTTTTCCCCATGATTTGCTTTGTTTTTTTCATGCAGTACTGACATTGTTCTTTTGTATTTTCTATAGGTGTGGTAGGAGCCAGGTCTCTGCAGTGGTGAAATCACATTTCACACTTGGGGTCATTTATTGTGGACGTCTATTTGCAGCAACAAGACCTCAACATGAGCAATCCCCAGTAAGTATAACACCTGCCTGAGTCTTGTTTGAAACCATGTCTGTGAGAGTGTGAAATCTTAAATCTCTATTTATGAACACGCAGTCTTGTGCAAAGGGCATCTCACCATGGTAGGATATGATTAACAGAATGGGACCTGCATATTCTCATGGTCCTCCTGTGAATGACTTTGAACGGGGATCAACGGGAAAGTGGAGCTCCGCCAGGTCCATCATCTCTGGGAGTGAGAGAGAGAGAGAGAGAGAGCGGCTGGCCATCTCCACTCTCCGTTGGCATCTCTTAGCATTCAGGAGGGATGTTCACTTGTCATCTTCTCTTATTAATAATTACTTTGTGTGTGGTCCTCCAGACAGGCCCTGCATTCTGATGACAGCCAGCCAGGGTTGGGGCTAAGAGAAGGGAAAAAGGGAGGGAGCAGGGCAACGGAGTGGAGTAGGAGGAGGCGGAGTGGAGTGGAGTGGAGTGGAGTGGAGTGAGGGGTGAATGCAAAATGGGTTCAGTCAGCTGCATCTTCTGGTTAAAGGCACAGGATGCTGCTTCCAACCGCCAGAGATCTCTGTCCAGGCCTCAGAGCAGCAGATTAGTACAGCTGATGGTTGATTACAAGTCCATTTGAGCAGGAACGTTGGTGCAAAACAAATGTAACCAGAGAGAGTGTGTTGACTGGTTAGTAGTACAAAGGCATGATTTAATGCTGCTGAATGCCGGTGACTCTCTGTGAAGTGACAGATGGGAAACTCTCATGCAGAGAAAGGTCTTTGGAGTTATTTTCACCCCTGCTCTCCCAGACTTGATGCTGCTGTAAATCCTCTCTCTCTCTCTCTCTCTCTCTCTCTCTCTCTCTCTCTCTCTCCCTCTCTCTCTCTCTCTCTCCCCTCCCTCTACAAACAGTGGGAGGCAGGATGGGGAAAATATTAGATGGTCAAATACAACAAATTCAGAGGGATTTTTCTTACGTATTTCACATAAACAAGAAGGTAAAATCTTTTGGCGTCTGCACATTGTTCACGTTTAAATAGCAGCGTATGCAAAGAGGAAATTGAAAAAGATAAATTACACAGCCTTACTGATGAGGCAGTCATATTCTTCCTATTCTCCTATGTATGGAGCTGTTTGTGTTTTTCTTTTCTTTTTTTTCATCATTCAGCACACAAAGAGCAAACACCACTCACACAGAGGAGCCTGCTGGCTTTGAAACAGGTCAGCTAACATTTACTGTAACTAACCTCAGTGTCACATGATGCAGTGCCGCTCTGCTCTTAATTTCTCGGCACAATGATTGCAGAGAATCATCAGAATAAAATCTGCTGATTAGCAATTCGCTGCTTAAAGAACTATCAACTGTGTTCATCTCATTGTTCTGATTTTAGAATTAAAAAAATGAAAATAAAAACCCCCCAACGAATGCATTATTACTAGTGTCAAGGAAAATTTGCCCTTTGACCTTTGTAAGATTGCCCTGATGGCTTAGGAAATTACTTTTCCTTTTTAAGATTTACTTCTTCAGGGGGCAATGAATGGACTTTGGGGTGAGTGCCCCAGTAGGGAAGTAGCAAAGTATTGACAGTAAAAAGCAACTCATTGTTGGAGCTGTTTTTTTTTTGTTTGTTTTTTTGATGAATTGTTCTGCATTAGGCACTGGCACCTTCTTTTGTAGATCAAGCAGCCGCTGTTGGGATCTCTGCAGAGTAAATCCTAATGTCTCAGACATCATTTTCTCTACTCACTAACTGAGGTGATATGGATATTCTACAATGGATTCAAAAGTTGGACTAGTTTCTCTATTAATAGTAATGAGAAGACTCCGAAGACCAAGAAAACAGCTTCACTCCTCATTGATGCGGCAGGATTGTCAAATGCTGTAATTTCCCCTTGGACCTCAAAAGAGCAGGCGTTGCCTAAAAGATCTGATCTTACAAATGTACCACTGTGTCAGGAGCTCGTGGCAGGGCTGCTGCCGCTGCTGTCTCTCTCTCCGCTGCTGCTGTAGCTGCTGCTGCTGTAGCTGCTGCTGGAAAATCTGGCTGGTTCCCATATAAGTGATTTGGCACATTGGTCCCACTTTCCTGATGATATCAGAGCAGTGAATTGCTGTGCGCAGAGGAGTAGCCAAGTGTCCGTATACAAACTCACTGGGTAAGACAGAACGGATGGGATGTCGACAGCTGGCCAGAAATACTGTGGCAGTGAGCACTCAGAATGACAATGATACCGATGCCCTCTGCAAATTACCAGTTCATGCTGAGGCAACACTTTAAACTTTAAACACTGAAGTGACAGAAGCAGAGAGTTTATTGCTCCGAATGGGTAATTTAAAATCTGAAGTGACAGGAATCAGTCTCACCCCTTATCACCTTGACAGAATAGCTATACTCCATGTTTAGTTTGACCTAACTTCATATAAACAATTATTTATCCATGGAAAGTTGACTCTTACTTTTTATAAGAACTGCCGTGCTATACAGTTACACCTGGGTGGTGAAGGTTGAGTGCTGTGCTACAGGACATGTCTGCTACAGGGTTTACATGAAATTTGAAGTAAAGCCAACTCAGCTGTAACTGCCCCTCGAACCAAAAGACGATTATCTGCCAATACAATACAGAGAAAAGCTGGGTGCTGGTGTCATCTCAAACTTGTCTCAGACCAGAATCCGTTTGTATGATGTAAAATACAAAGTAATATAACTTGATCCCATTCATGAGGCATTTGATATGTCCCTGACATTAGGAAAAGATTGTTTTAGTCTTAGCCTCAAACTGGACTTAGTCTTGTCTTAACTTTACATGTTTTAAGACTATAAATCGACTCACTCTTGACACAGCCCCAGCTACAGCCCTGGAAGTAAACAAATTCCCTTCTGATGTATCTTAACTCAGCATTTGAACCTCCTTTATGTGCATTGGTTTTAGTATTCAGAGTAAAAAGATATAAATTAGTTTTACTTTCTGTTGAGTTCAGCAGTATTGGACTTCAGCGGTATTTGAGTACCTTTCTTCCAAAAGGCGGCGGAAAACTGAGGCTGGAATAGATTACAAGTGAGATTCATTTAAACTGAAGATCTATGGAACCACTGAGTCTTGCCAAGAAGATGTTCCTATTGAAAATGTCTAAGTGAAAAAAGACCGTCTCGTATGTATTTCCAAGAAAAGTGTTACTGGGGAGTGTCTCTGTGTGGTGGGTGTTATTTGGTGTATAACTGAAAAGATTGGAGGCAAATGAGAGGAGCCACACCACTGAGAATATTAACAATGAAACCATCTAAAACCGGTCCCATATTTTCTTAGTTTTATATTTAAGGTGGATAATTATAATGCCTTTTGTGTCGTGACAAACAGAACTAAATTGTTTATGCAATGATTTAGAACTGGAAAGGCGAGATCTCAGCAGGCTATTATATTTTTATGTTTCCATTGATCACTGCATGGTGATTTATAGTGATGTGATGTAAAAAAAAAAATGCTGCAGGGATAACTATGGATTGCTGTTACTCTGGAGGAGCCAATTCCTTGCAGTTATTATACACAAGGAGCAAATAGACCTCCATAAAACACCAATTAGATTTTAAAACTACTGTACTCACTAGAACACACATTTATATTTTATATTCACACTTACTATAAATACATTCCAAAGAACATATTATATCTTTGACCAAGTTTAATAAACATTACCAGTTAGAGTGAATAGATGGACATTTTGGAAAAGCTGAGCTCTAACCAGTTTCATTTTAGTGTTTTGCACTATAATATGATATCGTAAGTTCATGTAACTACAGCCTTAAGACGTGGCTGTACAAATAGGGTCTGTTAGGAGCTTCATGGTAAGCCTCAGCTCTGTGGGTGCGAGATTTTCCCCCCAGCCATGCATGCACTATGTTAACCTTTTTGCTTCCTCATGGCGTTTGCTAATAATGCATGCCTCTGAAAAGATCCCAGCCTTTAGCATGCTACTGGCTGTCCTTGCCCACGTCGTTGAAGGGTGCAGAGTGTTCAGATGGGAAGCCTCCGCTCCCTCCCCAGGATGGCAACCAGCCACTCCACTGGGCTCTGCACATAATGGCTCCTGGCCTGCGCTGTGATTGTCTGGAAATGTGATTTTGATGCACTAAACAGTTTGTGTCTGTCATGACTGATTAGCGTCCTTGTTGCGGTTGGTCAGAGGTGCCAACTCCACAGATAACACTGGTAGGCGCAGGCGTGTGTTGTGGTGAGCATGTTAATATATGGGCGTTTGACCCTCAAGCTAAACAACACATCTAGGCCGACTCACATAACCAAAGGATCAGATATTTAAAGGTTGGAAGAGCAAAGCATTTTATATAGTGAGGACATGAGAATAAGAGGTATTTGTGTTGCATAGTCCTATTTTCCATGTTAAGACAATACAGTAAAATAAGCGATCCTGGGTTTACTGTGAGAATAACAAAATTACCTTTCAAGGGAGTCAATTAAACAGCTATTAGTCAAGAAGTAAGTCAGGAAAAAGAAAGACCTATTTTCCTTCCCAGGACTGCTTACATTAACATTTAACAGGAAGGTGGGTCTGCTCAGTGATCTTCCACTAACAGTTTGTTCCCACTCTGTTCCACCTCCAACACAGAGGTTGTAGAATTTACCAACCCAGTGGCTTTTGTTCCCTGTATCTTGTAATCAATGCCTTCTTCCACTGTTAAGCACTGGGGTTATTGATGTCTCCACACTGGCTGCACTGGGACGGCTGCCAAGCCTTGTGAGGCTCCTGTTCCCAGGTTGACTTCTCCTTGTCCATTATTGGCTGAGCTCGAAGGATCACAGCCCTCCCTACGTATTTAGATTTTAAGATCTCATTGGCAGGAAAAATGATACTTTGTTGGGTTCTGTCAAATATCCCTTATCTCACAGAGAAAATGTAGAAGATAAATAAAAAGGAAAAAAACACAACTGAAACAACCTTTTTCTTTTGTTCTACAATTGTCATTTATCAAATTTGACAGCTACTGTTACAGTGCATGGCTGTATTGGTAGTTTTGTATGTTTTGGCCCAACCATTTTTTAAAGTATGCCAAAGGTTTTTATACCAATTTTCTATAAGAAGTCATTGTTGTCCATTCAATTTAGTTTTCTATCAGATAGAAATATAGGTAAAGCTTCAGTCAACACTCCTGTTCTTTTTTTTTTTTTTTTTTAACAACTTTACAACTTTTAATGGCCACTCTGATACATTGAATTCATGTGCTAGGTGTTTGAAAAATCAGATCCAGGAGAGGAACAACAGATGTTGTGATCAGAATTTCTTCATTTCTTGCTCTTTTGCAGCTGATTCTGAAATATCAGGTGTTTGAACGTATGATTGCAGTAATAGAGATTTTAAAATCCGCACTGCTAGCAAATGGGCAAACATAATTTTAACCAAAAAAAAACAACAACATCGAATTGTACACTAGATTATTCATCTCAAGCAAGTTTTAAGTTTGATTTTCAGTCCTTGTGTCCTTGTTGAAGTTGTCAGTATAAACTGTAAACCGGAAATTTCACAGCACATTTTTGTTTTCATTCATCAAAATTAGGCATAGTCCCAGTAGTTGTTATCACCATTGGTACCTGGAGCGTTTATCAAGTAGGTGCATTGGCTAATTCAAATAAGCAGCACACTTTCCTACAACCTTGCACTGCAATTCTGCCACCTTTTCTGTAGACTGAACACATGATAGACATGCTAAACCACCCATGACACTCTCAGTTTACACATCCACTCATTGAATCTAATGTTGCTCTGCTTGTGGTGTGTGTGTTGTGTGTTGTGTGTGTGTGTGTGTGTGTGTGTGTGTGTGTGTGTGTGTGTGTGTGTGTGTGTGTGTGTGTGTGTGTGTGTGTATGTATGTGTCACAGGGCTCCTCCCCAGGCTGGAGCCTCAGAGCTGGAGGTGATCTCCCAGCAGGTGGAGGAGGACAACCAGTGCGTGGCCCCTGTCCAACTGGTCAGCTTCGCCTACAGAGACTTGCCTTTGGCCGCCCTGGACATATCCCTCGCTGGATCCCAGCTCATCTCGAACCCAGATGAAGAGGACAACAGAGAGGGGTACGTCCCATAAATTAACTCCAACACGCCCGACAGTTTGACCACAGCCAGTCAAACAATCTCTACAGATGATTCTGCTTATAGTAAGCACTCACGACAAGTTAGGCTACTCTGAAACAGCAACTTCAGTGTGGTCATGAAGACAAAGAGTCACCGTGTTCAAAGATGCTCATGATTTGGTTCTGAAGCTACATGAAACTGAACACTTTAATTTTCATCGTTTGAAGGGTATCAAACATCCTACATTTTGAGGGAGCTGAAAACAAATTAGTTGTATGATTATCAATGAAATCTTTCTATAATTAATTTGTATACTAAAAAGCCCAAGATGTAATTATATATTGATTGATGTTGGCCGCCACAGCTAAGAAGATACTGGAGATATGGTGTCTGAAACATTGTCTCTGCTTGTTGTGTGAAAGTGCTACATCCATAATTAAGGCAGAATTGCAATTACTACAATCTATAATCTACCCCGGCAGAGAAAAGCTCTGCCGTCACTCTCTCTATTGCTCGTTATTGCACATGGTAATTACACTTGGCATATTGAATCACCCCTCATTTTATATTAGAGTCCAGGAGTCGAGGATATTTGGCGATGAATTTATTAGTGTCACCATTTTAAATGGACAATGTCTCTACTGATGTGTTCATTTCAGCTCAATGACACAGCAATTTCTCGCTACTAGACAGGCTTCTGTTCATAATGTCGATTTCTGGCAGAAAACAAAGAGTGTTGTTAGCACCATAGCTTTCCTGAAATGTCAAAGCCTTGTGGCGGTGCTGTTTCTGTCCACGAGGCCTGCTTGTCCTGGGTTTGTGTTGTTTTCTTATCACCATATCGCCATGCTGCAGGCCCAGTACTCTCAGGACAGGACACACCCCTCCTAGAGCACCCCTGTAGCAAGTGTCCATGGCTCTCCACTCAGGAAGCGTGACTCACAACCCTTTGGCTTGCTGCGATGCTGGCTTCCCTGCAGAGAAAGTCGACAAACAGCATAAGCTTAATTAGAGCATCCGGCATTTTGCCATCCAAGCCCTGGTGTGTCAGCTGACCGCGTCCGGCTGGACCTTGGCTGGTCTGGCCCGGTCCGGGCCGATGTCTCTGTGGGACGGAGGGCAGGGACAGATGGGTCCTGTCCCAAACACCCAATCTCTCATCCTACCTCATATCTTTCTCACTCTCTCTTGCACACACAAAGGACAGAAAACACGCACATAGCAATGTCACAGCAGAGGGCAGGATCTGGCAGCCCAGTAACATTATCATCACAGTGGGCACTCTCATATGGCACCATATGACACCCTGGTCCCCTGGGATTTGGCATTGTGCAGTGGAAAAGTCATACATTGCCAAGACGTGTCTATGTTGGATTTATCAAGGCAGCAATGTAAATATTTGTTATTTTTAAAAGCAGGGGTCATTCATTTTGATCAGAGAAACACCTTCTTGTGGGAAGCCATACAGTAGTGAAAACAGTGTGCTGCCTGTCATCCATGTGAGTGTTACAATATGTTCAATGAACCTTTTTTTAGATTGAAACAGGTCAGAGAAATTCCAAGACTTACCTGTCATCGTAGTTACATACACACATTCGTTGTTTGGAAGTGCTCCCGGGAAAATCAACAGAGCTAGCTCGTTGTCACAGGTTCTGGCTTCCTTAGTGTGTGTGTGTGTGTGTGTGTGTGTGTGTGTGTGTGTGTGTGTGTGTGTGTGTGTGTGTGTGTGTGTGTGTGTGTGTGTGTGCATGTGTGTGTGTAACATCAGAGGAATGACACAAAGGTGAGATGTGTTGCGTGCTGCAAGATTTTAAATTAATCAACACTACCATAGGCCCTGATGGCAGAGCAGTGAGCTGGCTGATCTGTAAACCAGTTTTTTCTCTTGTTTGTTGGAATGTATGTTCATGGAAACTCCTCTACATACTGTGGGCTAATTTTAGCACTTTGAAAGTGACTGTGCAGTGGATTATAAACCCACTTTCATTTCTTCGCTACAGGTGTTGCTTTGATTTTGTTGATTAGCAGGACAGTTTGTTAAAACGAACTACTATGACTTACATTCCTGAGATGCCTTTATATCTTAGTCATGTTCTTTGGATGTCTGGATGTGATTATATCCTGTGGTAGTTGGTCAATGAACAGGTGTAGTCTAATTTCAGTTTGATCATAGAAATTACTGTTGTTCAGTTTGGAAAGTTATCTTGATTTCTTGTTGTGGACAAGTGGTGTAAGGTAAAGCGTAAAGGTCACTGGAATGGCTTTATACGAGTGGTCAGAGATGGGAAAAGAAAGGGATCATTACTTGTGAACTGAGTCTAAATCTTTGATGATGAGACCTTGGTTTTTGTTTTGTTCCATATGGCTGTGGAGGAAAAAAAAGAGCAGAAGAATACACACCAGAGAAGCGCATTTAGTCTTGCACGGCAGCTTCTCGTGGCTCTTTAACAGGAGACGTGGGCGATGTATGTAGGAGGTGGATGTTCTTGCGGACTACAAGGGGCACACGCAGTACTTGCAGATTCTGTGCAGTGGTGAGTTGGATGGAATTATTAATAGATTTTGGCAGCGCCATCTTCTCCAGAACTTGGTAGAAAGTCCAAGATGAGGGTGGTGTAATTTCACATCCACACTTTTTATTTCTTTTTTTGATAACAACAGAATATCTTTTTCTTTTCTTTTTTTTTTTTTAAATGACCAAGGTGCATGCTTTGTTACAAGCGAGTTAACAAGCCTTGCAGCAATCCATGCCTAATAGGGAATAAGCAGGTGTTCAATAGACGTGCGTGTGTAAATAGTATAGGTTACAACAGCTGGTTGTGTGCGTGAAAAGCATTTACAAATTGACTGTTGAAATTTTTTTTAATCTAAGGTTATTTGAATTTGCCTACATTAGAATTATTTTTGGATGTGTGTCACTATCCATCTACAATAATTTCAGAATGATTTACCATATGTCGTAGTCAAGTCAAGTGAATTCAAATTTTATTTGTATAGCGCCAATTCACTACATAAGTTATCTCAAGGCACTTTCCAAATAGAGCAGGTCTAGACCTTCTCTTTATAGAAGATCACAACATTCACATCTCAGATGACTTTTTGGATCAGCCATTTGAAATAATTGGAAAACTCTTTTTTTTTTCTTTTTTTTTTTATCAGACACTTGTATTGACATTTTCTTCTACTCCTGACCTTCGTGACCTTAAGGCAGGGTGGAACCCAGGCTCCTGGCGAGCATCTCCCTGCCTGGCCCCGGTCTGTGGCCCCCGAGCTGCGCATCCTGCACTGTCATCCCCAGATCAGCTTGCTGTCCACAGCAGCAGTACCATATGCTGTTGATCTCTAGGGGAAAGACTGAGAGGTGTGAGGCACAGCAGAAATGACAGATGGTTCATATGGGTCAACCTGCCGCTTTGACTGGAGGAGAGTGGAGGCAGTGGGGATAAAGAGAAGGATGGAGGGAGGAATGGAGCAGACGACCCTCCTCCATGCTTTCGTTCACAAAGCTGCCGGCTACAGATCACAAGCAAATGGCTCCGTTTGATGGATGTCATATCTGTCCATGTTGGACAGTAGTGTGGGATTAACTCTGTGCCATGTTGCCACAGTTGCTCGCTGATATTGGGCGAAATGTCGGATATAAGATGATATTGTATGCTCAGGCCAGCCTAGATTGATTACATCACTCAACATAGCGCTCAGTCCTTCACTACAGTACATTAATATAGCATTATGTCAGCAATCACATAATCAAACCTAGGCTGATAATGCTCAAGGTTGAAGGAAGATGGAATATTTAGAAAAAAAATCTAGACTGTACAATAGTACAATATAAATCTGAAGGACCTTGCCAGACTCTAGTATGAGTCTTGGCAGCAGCAATATTTCATGGGGCTTTGGAACAAGAGCCATACTATACCTGTACTGTGTTGATGGATGTCTGAAAAGAGAGAAGGATTTCTCTTTCTCCCCCCTCTGACTCTATTTCAAACACACAGAGGAACAGTCCTCTCCATCAAATTGGCTCTCTTGCCTGGCACCATGTGCGACACAATAGATGACATTTGAGTGCAGGGTTTGAGGGTTTGTTAATATTCACAGACATGCAAAGTGCGAGATTGCTTTTTAGGCTGAGAGCGAGAGAGATCAAGTGTCCTGGTGAAAACCCATTTATCAGGGACAGCTTGTCTGCTGCTCTGCACATGGAGCCCCATCCATCTCCATTTGCTCAGTATCTGTGGCCCATTTCTCCGACAAAGACCAGCTCTGAATCCCCTCTGCTATCTTGTACCACATAGGTGATGCTAGGAGTGAAGAGATGATAGCTGATCACGTTTGAATAAAGCTGCGTGGAATTTCATCAAAAGGACTAAAAAACTGTTTACTTATTAACCAGATGGAATGCAAGTATATGTCCAAAACTAAATTTACTGGCCCCTGTAATCGATTGGCCCTTTTCATTTTATTTCTTCATTTACTCCAGAAGTGTTTCCTAATTGTACGGGTATGAGACCAGAAGAGATTAATAGTGATGAGACATGCAAACTCTGAAATGTACCATTGATTATCTATGATAACTTCACTTTATTCAGCATATTTATTGCTTAGCTGGTTTTCCTCTCTCAGGACTTCTTTTCCTTTTTTTTTTTTGGCCGTGATAACAGATGACCCAGCATTCGTTACACAGGAAAGGATTTAGCCAGTTGTTATGTTGCCCTTTGTCTTTTGAATCTCATACATCTGAGGCACATGCCCCACCTGTGCTTTCTCAGGAAAAAGAAGCTCTCAGGTAAAAAAATAAAAAATTTTAAAAAAGCATATATCAGTAAGAAATGCATCTTCAAGTAAGTTAAGGAGGAAGTGTGACGTAGAGCTTGAACAGCCTGAATGGGATGAAGTCCTCGCACCTCTGCTGTTCGGTCGCCTGCAGGCACACAGTTGTGGTTCATTTTCCCCCGCCTGGGCCTGCTGAGTTCAGCAGATTGGTGTGAATTGGCTGA